AGGTCACAGGAGGTGATTCTGCCCCTCTACTCCTCTCTGGTGAGACCCCACCTGGAGTACTGCAGCCAGCTCTGGAGTCCTCAGCACAGGAAGGACATGGACCTGTTGGAACAGCTCTAGAGGAGAGCCAGAAAGATGATAAGAGGGCTGGAGCATCTCTCCTGTGAGGACAGGCTGAGAGTTGGGGTTGTTCATCCTGGAGAAGAGAAGGCTTGAGACCTTATAGCAGCCTTCCAGTACCTGAAGGGGGCCTACAGGAGAGATGGGGAGGGACTCTATTGGAGTGATAGGATGAAGGGTAGTTAACGATTTTGAACCGGAAGAGGTTAGAGATTTAGATTGGACATAAGGAAAAAATTCTTTACTCTGAGAGCGGTGAGGCACTGGAACAGGTTGCCCAGAAGTTGTGGATGCCCCCATCCCTGGAAGCGTTCAATGCCAGGTTATCTGCTTGAGCATTAGAGCACTGGCACGCACAGCAACAATAAACCCACAGCAGCAAAAGGGACTTTCCACCGTTTGAAAAGCAAATATGGTGAATTTACTGCTATGCTTTTGACAAAATAATGTTTCGGGGGAAAAATGTTTTCTAAAACATTTGTTAAACTCGGGATTAAAATGCAAGCACGCCCAAGCAGGTCTGACTTCAGTTTGAGCATAGGATGATGACTAACAATGTAACCTGCCTTGCCTTTCTTCACCCGATTCCCACCCCTCACCAAAAAAAAACCAAAAGAACAAAATAGGGAAATTAGTTAAGCTTTAAAGTTAGGAAATTCTACCTAACAAACTACAAACTTTGAAACTGACGCTGAGTTTACGGTATGTGAGCCATGCCACGAAGAACACTACAATTTCTGGACACCAATACGTATAAATAGCATTAAATAACAAGTGACCGGTAAACACAAACGTCCCGATGGCATTCGGGCTTCTCGTTATGACCAGCGTTTTTGCTGCAGCTTTCTTTTTTTTTTAAATTAACGCAGCTCTCACCAAACCACACCACCCGAAGTAGAGCCGCTGGCTATAACGAACAGGTAGACCCGCTCTGGGGGTGCAGCGCCCCTATTCCCGACCCAGGCGGGGCCTCCCTCACCCCCTCACCCCCACTCCCACCCCATTTTGGGGCGCAGCCCGCGTTACAGGCGGGGAGCCGCAGGAGGACAGACACGCTGGCCGCCTCCAGCAGTCTGGGCTCCCCCTCAGAGCCCTACGAGCCAAGGCGGCCTCCGCCAGGAGGTGACACCGGGAGAGAGAGCTCACCCAGCGCGGCGGCCAGACCGTCCCCACCGGTGCTGACAGGCCGGCGACACCGGCCCCAGCGCTGCGCTCCCGGCCA